GGTGATTTAATAGTTTTCAAGTTACAATCTCTCTTACATCTACTTTCCTGGTTGTGTTTGAAATAGCATTTTGTTTATTGCTTAATAAAAGGGTTTAGGTACTTGATGACATGTTATTTGATTTGTACACAGGACCAAATATGCAGATATCGAGTGTTATTTATTGCTTAATGCAATGGTTTAGTTCCTGGACAGCATGTTAGTTGATTTAATAGTTTTCAAGTTACAATATCTCTTACATCTACTTTCCTGGTTGTGTTTGAAATCGCATTTTGTTTATTGCTTAATAAAAGGGTTTAGTTACTTGATGACACGTTATTTGATTTGTGCACAGGACCAAATATGCAGAAATTGTTGCTAAGACAAGCTTAAATGACATCTTGAAAACTACAAGTGGCCGCAAAAAGGCTCAGAGTAGGCTACCCAATGCTGAACTTAAGGATGCCAAAGGTGTGGCCCTTGATGATGTTATGGCTTCTCAAGGCTCTTAGCTTCTTCGGTTTCTTTATACAGAGGCGTTGTTCTCACTTAAGATAGATACATGTGTTGGTGTTGAGCCAAATTTTGGACCTCTGAGATTGGCTTTATATAGTAATCTGTGTAAATAGAGAGAAAACGTTCTGGTTATTTTGGACTTTGTTGTTTCATTTATTGTCTTCATTTTCTTTGTATCAAGGTAGATATCAAAGACATGTTTTGTGTCAGTGTTATATGGTTGTCCTCTTGGCTCTTTCCTATTAAAGGGTGGTGACAAGTTCATATGGTTGTCCTCTTGGCTCTTTCCTATTAAAGGGAGGTGACAAGTTCAAATTTTGACTCTTGTTCTATAATATTTCTATGGGACAAACTGGGAAAAGAAATGATATGAAATTGTGTCTTTTTGGACTTCCACTGATTGATCATTTTACAATGAAAATGGTTGAAGCCTTAGGGGCTATTTGCACTCTATTTTGTTATTTGATTCTAATGGTTCTCATGATATTTTTGACGATACTAAAAGCTTTTCCTTTTTAGAAATGGTACTATTTGCATGGTTGAAGCCTTAGGGGCTTTTTGCACTCTCATTTTGTTATTTGATTCTAATGGTTCTCATGATATTTTTGACGATACTAAAAGCTTTGCCTTTTTAGAAATGGTTCTAATGGTTCTCCTGATATTTTTGAAGTTACTAAAAGCTTTTCCTTTTTAGAAATGGTACTATTTGCACTCTATGTTGTTACGATATGTAAAGGTGTAAAGTAGTTTATGGGTGGGTCGAGGGACGCATGACTACATTTACGTCCCCTTACTCATCAACTCCACATCTATTTTTAAGATAGATGTGGAGTTGATGAGTGAGTGCCCGTGTTCGCAAAATCGAATCAGAACGGTTAACCGGACATAGGCTCGAAAGTAGTTTAACCAGCTTAACCGGTAAACTGGCCGATTCAGCCGCTCTAATCGGACAAATCTCGGGTGGTAAAAAAAGAGTTAAAAATGATTAAAACAAAACACATTCATATGAAGTTGAAAATTAATGAAAAAAAATAGATTTTAATAAATTGATTTGTGCTTAAGGGTAATTTTAAAATTTCTTGAAAAAGATGAGAAAGTATAAAAATGCGTATTAATGACCAAAATGATTTTTAATCTTTATTATAATGTAATTTTTTTAAAAAAATGCATTACAAATCAAAATTTCAATTTTTGGGAATTTATATGCATTTTTTTTAAAATACCTATTGATCGCCAAAACTGCCCAAAACCAGAACCGGCCAGTGATCTAACTGAGCAGTAAGTGTTTTGTGCATCAGGGGATGCAACCCTACCCTCTGAATGAAAAATAAATGTAACATTGTTCATGCAATTTTTGCTACTCCCTCTGAATGAAAAATAAATGCGACATTGTTCATACAATTTGAGAGCCATTTACTACAGGTTGGGCTTCCTCTTCTTTAGAAGGACATTGTTCATACAATTTTTGCTACTCCCTCTTGACTGAAAAATAAATGTGACATTGTTCATACAATTTCAGAGCCATTTACTACAGGTTGGGTTTCCTCTTCTTTAGAAGGACAGTGTTCATACAATTTTTGCTACTCCCTCTGAATGAAAAATATATGTGCCATTGTTCATACAATTTCAGAGCCATTTACAACAGGTTGGGCTTCCTCTTCTTTAGAAGGACATTGTTCATACAATTTTTGCTACTCCCTCTGAATGAAAAATAAATGTGACATTGTTCATACAATTTCAGAGCTATTTACTACAGGTTGGGCTTCCTCTTCTTTAGAAGGCCCCAACTTTCTACTACCGAAGGATTTTAGGCTTGACAGTCTCCTTACAATGCTTCTTGATCTTGAAGATGACACGCTTCTTTCATTCCTCGTCTCTATCTCTTCCGCTAAGCTATTCACAAGGTTCTCAAACCGGCGCCTGAATGTTGGAAACCTTGAGATTGACTTGCTGATCCCTCGCAGCCTGCAAAAATTTAAACAAGAAACTAAAGATTACAGATCTCCTAAATATTACAGCTGATCCCTCGCAGCCTGCAAAAATTTAAACTCGGAAGAAAGAAACTAAAGATTTCTAAGGAATTACAGCTGATCCCTCGCAGCCTGCAAAAATTTAAACTCAGAAGAAAGAAACTAAAGATTTCTAAGGAATCTTTCTTCTAAGGAAAGATGAAAATTTGAATGAAAAGGGTAAAGAGAAAGAAACTAAAGATTACAGATCTCCTAATTTAAAGATTACAGATCTCCTAATTTTCTAAGTTAATTTTCTAAGGAATCTTTCTTCTAAGGAAAGATGAAAATTTGAAGAAAAGGGTAAAGAGAAAGCATGGATAAGGGGAGGTGGATGAGTGAGATGACGCAACAAAAAGATGTGAGCACCAATTAAAGAACCAATTAAAGAACAGAACAGAAGATGTCAGCACCAATTTAGACTCAGAATTGGTGGATGAGTGAGAAGACGCAACAAAAAGATGTGAGCACCAATTAAAGAACAGAACAGAAGATGTCAGCACCAATTTCGACCGACTATAAGAAAGGCTCAGTCTAAAAACATGAACATGTAAACTATGAGAAAGGCGACAAACACACGTCTAAAAAAAAACACAAACAAGTTAAATATCGAAGGGTCCAGAAACTATACTTCAAAAAAGAAAAATCTAAGATCTAATATCAGTTCAAAATAACCTTCGGGCTAAAGCTTCAATTTCAGCACGCTTAATCTCAGATTCAGGTGGGGACCCAATATTCCAGTCCTTCATTCGCTCAGACTCACCACCGAATAAAACCAATTTATTCAGATAGTCCTCTTCAGCCTCTGAAAGCCTCTGTGCTTTGATCTGCTCCTTGATTATCATTAACGGATCAAAGAACCAATCAAAGAGCTTCTCTCTAGGTTTGTTCGTGGTAGTTATCTCCGTTTTATCACCTTAACAAACATCAAATAAACCACCTCAATTAAGTGTATACACCTCAAAAATGTACAGTAAAGAAATAATCCATCTTTGAGTAAACACAAATCATTTCCCTGACAACCCATCTTGGGATCCATTAAGTTGCATTATAAACTTGTTGAATATTAATACAGGCATAACGGTAAGGGTACGCACACCTTTTATAGGTGAGGAAGGGAGTCTCCTACTTATTTGGAAGACCGCCTTTTCCATCATATTTGATGGAAGGCTGGCCTTCCAAAAATCAACACATTTTAGCGTTGAGAAATGGCTTTTGGAAGGGCGTGAAATACCGCTCTTCCAAGATCTCCCCGTTATCAAATGTGGATGTAGGAGGTTCAACTGCCACTTCCAAAATCTCCGCTTATCACACACGCCCCAAAAGACACTTAAATAGAGGCACATAAGTATTCATCATTAACAAGTACACTCACTCACTTAATAGAAAACCAGGAGAATTCGCCTTGGCTGACCGTAAAAGTCCTTGAAAAATGCAATATGCTGGTAAGCCAATGCTCAGGATCCTGTTTCCTCCATTATTTGATCTCCATTGTTCAATATCTTTCATTGTTATTGGCCCTCCAAGAGCCAGGTTTTCTCCATGGCGTTTACATTCCACAAAGATGTGATCAAGTACCTGATGAACATACTTTCTCGTCAGGTGTCACATTGCTCTCATTCTATTTAATCTCGCACGACACACACGAGGAAATGTGCTCTCTCTCTCTCACACACACACATACACACACAAAATTATAACTAGACGAAATTGCAGAAGAGCGTGGGAGCATAGTGTACATCTACTCCCTCAAAAGACCCACCAGGGAGAATTTTTTTAATCTGAAACTTTGGAAACTACCTAATAATCACTAGATGATTATTTTCAAAAGAAAAAAAATTATCTTAGATTGGGTTTTATACGAGGGAGTAAATGGACAGTGTGCTCCAGTGGGAGTATAATATCTATTGGCATAACAGAAAGACGAACCTCTAGAGGTTTCAATTCAACCATGGAATCCCTAAAAGACTGGGCACGCAGTGGGGGGCCCCTTCCTTCGGGTTTCTCTTTCATGAAAGAAGCAGGCCTGGAGAGTGAGCCAGAAAGGGAGGGCTTCTTTTTCCGGTATTGAGGCCTGTCAGTCCCAATAACGTCTCAGTTATCATTAACAAAGATGGTGACCATTGTGATAAATATAAATTCATTTTACATCTTCTTTCCATGTTCTTAGTGATTGTATGCTACCTTGGAAAGCAAGAGCCTTCTCGCATGTCCAAAACATCATTCGTATATTCATCGTACAAGGATATGGCAGACATAATGTAGGCTAGTCCAAAGCAGGCCGAGGATTCCTGTCAAAGAAAATTAAAACAATACACATAATTCATTCTTCCATAGAGATTTTTAAATCATTAGGTGCTCTCTCTCTCTCTCTCTTTCTACACACACATACTGGCAACTACAAACAATAAAAAGCCCACGAGACAGATAATAATTGGAAATAACTTGTACCTGGTAAGTCACGACAGCCGCAAACAAGCCCAAGAAAAAACTAAAGAAAATTGAACTAAGTATAGCTCCGATTACTACTGATGGCCACAGAAGAATAGCCAGCCCAGCAAATGGCACACATGCAGTCTCCAAGAAAGGTCCTTCCCTTCCTATAAGATCATGTACCAGACGGTGCCACCCTTTAAAAAGCATGTAGGGGCTCTTGTAAAGAGCTATCAACAAGACCAGTGGCATGTCAACTAAAATGCCAAGCAGTCCAATTATGATACAACCAATCAAACGAAACAACCTGCAAATTACCACAGCATGTGTATCAATCAATTAAACCATTAAAAGGAGCATATTTGAATTTTATGATACAACCAATCAAACGAAACAACCTGCAAATTACCACAGCATGTGTATCAATCAATTAAACCATTAAAAGGAGCATATTTGAGTTTAAGACTAAATCCTCCTATTATTAGAATTTGAAAAGCGCACGAGATAAAAAAAAGGCCTATTAAATGGGATAGTGCAGTGTCCTGTTTAAAAAATTGGCTACCACTGGATAGGAGTCACTTAATAGGCGTTCGAGATAGAACCAATCCATAAAAGCCAAACAACTCCATCTCCATGAGCTGAAAGGCTGTGTTCCATAAACTAGTGCATGAGTGATTCTTGCAGTTGCTAACTCAGCATCAAAACAGGCATTGATGTGATGGCCACATAATTAAAAAGAAGAGAACCATGCATTTGAAAAGGAGCTCTCTCAAATCAATGCTTCAACATAAATCACCTAACCGACATATGCACCAAAATTGGCAAGCCATCAGTGAATTGGTTCACCTCCCTATGCCTATGCTCCATCTTGTGCTGACTAATATTCACTTTACAGTTAGTCCAATCTACTAAAATGTCCATCACATTCCAAAAAAATCATATAATGTACCAAATCACTACCTTCATGGGAAAGCCATATTGCACAGAAGGAATGCAAATCCCATTAAAGTAGTTCCATTGACAAAGGGAGTTCTCATTGTATGGCTGGAGGCTAGAGAAAGGCCTATATGACCAAATGGCCCCAGCCCAGTTTGCCTGCAAACTCTACCCACCCCAATTTGAACTTGGTTGCTTATGTTGCACTTGTCAAAATTAAGCTACAGGGCATAGGGCCAGTATAACCATGTTCTCTAAACACCATGAGACATCATCACTAACTAAAGCTATGGAAAGGGATATATAATAAAACCCTAAAAACTCAAATAAGAGCCAAACATGAAATATTGATAAGTCACAATCAAGGAAATTAAATATATTACTAGAATTTTGGCTCTTTCTTCTCTTTAAGTTCTCATGGTATCCAATGACAGAGCACAAGTAATCACAAACCACAATGTGGCTCCATCCCATGATTTGATGGCATCATCTATGTGACTTAGATGAGAATTAAAGTGATTATGTTTCATAGTGTCATCTAAGTGTCAACAATTTTAATGAACAAGTTATTATTGTGTTTGAGTGTGAACAATTTTAATATTCAAGTTATTATTGTTTGGGTATAAACAATTTTAGTGATCGAGTTAATGCTAAGCATAGGGACTTCAAGACAATGATTTGTGGATGAGAAGACCTACAAGATCAAGGACTAATTTCTGCAATCCAAGGTTATAAGGGAAAATGAGGTCGGGCTCAAGTGTCAAACGGGAATGTGGAGAACTCCCTTACATGCAATGTATCAATGATTAAGTGAAAGAAAAAGTATAGGGAAAATGAGGTCAGGCTGAAGTGTCAAATGGGAATGTGGAGAACTCCCTTACGTGCAATGTATCAATGATTAAGTGAAAGAAAAAGTATTCACTGCTAAACATTAATCAGGTCATTAAGTAAACGCTAAACATTAATCAAGTCATGAAGTAAATGCTAGAAAGATATATTCCAATATTGGATACATTCAAATGTTAAGTGCCTAAAAATCTCCGCAACAGCAAAAGAAAATAAGCACTGGTGTAAACCAAAATTAATAAAACAACTGACAATAAAGGTGAAAAAATTGACAGAGGCACAGGCCTTGGATTAGTGGGATGATTTCAAATTCATCTAACGAATTGAACACTAGACAGGTCAGCTATAATTTCAAATTCATCTAACGAATTGACCACTAGACAGGTTAGCTATAGTATTCTTAGCCAAAATGCAAACTTAACTGAGATTTCTTCAGTTTAATCTAAATTGAAAGCATACATGACTAAAATGTACATATTTTTCTTCTGCAATTGATATAAAACCTTCTCGAGTTTCATAAATTACTTCCCTAAAATGAAAGAAAACTTACAGTTCCTCACAATGATCAGGTACAAAAGAAAGAGTAACAGCTAAACGAAAAGATCGGAACACAAAAAGTTATATCCCACATAAGAATCCCACCTGATTTCATGTCGTATTCCACTTGGAGGCTCTTGGTGGCTAAGATCATCCATAATAAAGAAATATGAGAAGAAACAGACGTCTGTGAAGTCCCTTACTATGATAAAACATCCTGTTATTGTGCTCCATGTCCCATCCTGAAAGTATGAAATCCATTTTATTAACCTGAAATAAGTTCCAAGACTCTATACCCTCACATTCAAAATTTTAACATTAGCAAACATCATCCTCAATATATATAACTATTGAATTTGAAAGAAAGGGACATACCACTACACAGTGGTAAAATTGGTCAATCTTCCCCTCTCCGACAGCTTCAAATGTACAAATTAGTGGTCTTAATAAGCCATAGCCTGCTCCTACCAATATACTACCAGCAATTCCTACTATTGGCCATAAAACGAGGAGAACTGAAACGCAAATACATAGCGCAATCTTCAAAAGTGGCCCTAGCTGTTTGGCCCTGTCTTTAAAGAATAGGAATAAAAAGAAATAAAAAACTGTTACTGAAAGATGGTTAATATATAACTAAATTCATTCTGGCATTACAAAAGTGGGAAAATACTCAAAGATAAAGAAATGCAAACAAATAAGAAGTACCTTGCTATGCAATAATGTGTCCAAACTACATGTGCTGGCCATAGACCGATTATTACCGCTGAATTCCCAATTGCCATTATTACCCAAACTGGAAGGCAAAATATTAAGCCTGAAACCAATTCCATGGAAACCAATTCCATGGACAACAATCAAAGGCAGCACTGATGGTATTATAGGAAAGTATTAAGCATTTAAAGCGCCAGTATTCAGCATGAATTGACATGGTTTAAATATCTCTAGAAAATAATGAAACATAGAGAAATATATCAATTGATATGAATTCACGCATTTGTGAAAGACATTACAAAAAACAAAGCAAAAAGGAAAGGGAAGAGGAACTAACCTTTTATTATGCCCAGAAAGAGAAGCCCAAGAAAGAAGGGCAAGAAATAGAGAAAGCTCTTGAGAGAAGCACAGAAACCCTTTGGAATTTCCATGATTCCCATGATTAAACACAGATCCAAAAGCACTTCCACCCACAATAGTCAATATATTTTCAGAAAACCCATTAAATTAGAAATAAAAGAAAATTGCACCAAATGGAATCCACTAACTCAGAAACAAATGGAAAACCCAATAAATTGCACCTAACACAGAAAGCAGAAAAATGGAAACAGTACTAAAAAAACCCAGTAATAACAACAAATCAAAGGCAATATCTTGCCCCCTAAAAAACGTTCCTTGAAGTACTTTCCCTGGTGAAAAAGGCCTTCATTTGAGACAAATTACAGCATCAAAAGCATTCCTTTGAGTAAAGGAAACTGTATATATGCGCAAAACCAAAACCCAAAAAAGCATATACTTGTAAATAAAGCTTCACACGTATCACCAATTTAAGAGTTCATGAACCCAGAAAACCATATTTCTTACAACCAAAGCTTCAAAATTTCTCTCTCCCCCACTTTCTCCTGAAACTTCATACTTTTATGAAAAAAGAATCGAGTGCAACCCATCACCCCTTTAGTCTCGAAGAAGACGGGTGAAGAGTTGCACCTCTTGTGATTTTGCAGTGCCCCTTCTCTCCTTTTTTTTTTTTTTCTTTTTTTGGAAAGGGGTTCACTGAAATTATCCAGAAAAAAGTAAAATGCAAAAAATTTACAAAAGCCAAGAAGAGTCTTTTTCTAATTTAATTTTTTAAAGTTTTTTTTGTTGTCCATAAAACATACCAAAAAAAAGATAGAAAAAGAAAGCAAAATAGAAAGTGATAGGAGTGGTAGTGGTTGCACAACCGTCAGCACTGATTCCCCATTTGTAGTATTCTTAAAAAACAAATGCAATCATGCGTAGATGTCTTTTTGCAAAAGAATAAATTATTTTTCAAAGAATAAATTTGAGATTTGAAATTTCCCTTGTGGGTTCTTCATAAAATTGAACAGGATCAAGAGATTTTTTTTTGTGCTGCTAATTAAAAGACCGTTAGTCAAAGTACGACCGTGATTAGTTTTTCGTTGAGATATATTTGTTGTAGGCCCTAAAATAAATATTTGTTGTAGGCCCTAAAATAAACGTCACACTTAAAATGTGTTGATGAGCCCGCGTATCGTGCTCCTGAAGGATCTGTTTCAGATTGTCCATATGCTCCCTTTGAGAAGTGAGCGGTGAAAATTTGCAATTTAGGGTATAAACTTTTTCGTTCTTTGTGCCACCCCAAATTTTTAATAGCGGCTCAATGTGTGAGAAATCATATCTAATTTCACAATTATACTAAGCTTAATAACAAGAAAAATAGACAGTAATGATCTTATGTGATATATTAATTTTATTTTTCTACGAATTATATTAACTTGAAAATTTGAATATCTACCCTACTCAATCAATCGTCGAAAAAAATATAAAAGAATAATTTATAATAAATAAATTGACTAAAATACCTTTAAAACTTTCGACGTATCTTAGTCGATTTATTTTATAAATTGCTTTTTTATAATTTTTTTGTTTGAATGGCTGTAAATAACTGCAAATGTGCACTTTCTAGTAACATCTAGGTGTCAAAATACACGCCCACTCCCTGTCTGAAAGGGGAGACCACGGACCAGGTGAGATGGCGGCCTCATTTTTTGACATGGTTTTCAAACAATATCAAAAGATTCTATGTTCCCCCGCGAGCATTTAGAGTATTAAATGAAAACCCTTATTTTGAGCATTTTTTAGAACCCGAATATTTAGATGTAACCCCCTTTGCCTAGTAGTCAGCTTGAAAGAGAAAGATAATATCATATACTTTATAAAGGCGTACTAAATGATAATCTCATATTATACATAAAGAAAAAAAGTTTATATAAGCTTGACAATTTAAAATGTTGAATTGAGGTACACCGCTAAAATCATTCGAAAAAAAAGTTGTTTTGATGTTGAAAACACATCTATTTGATCATCTCAACCTCTAGATGTATAGATATAGAGAAAAAAAGATATTTGAGGTCTTAAGAATAGTAGCAACATATTATCTGGAGGGTCTATTTTCAAGATTTTTATGTGTTTATAGATCTGTATGATTTGAACTAGTTTTAAAATTTTAAATTTTATAATTAAAGATAAAAATAGATCCTCAAACCATCCTAAGAATTTTCGACATCAAAATTGCATTTCATGACAAAGTTTGGAAGTGCATCTTGATTTGATTGTTTAAGGTTGCAACCTTAACCCTTACATAAAATACTCCATAAGAAAAGACTATACAAATTTTAGATGGAAAGATTAAGTGTGCTTAAAAACTAAGAGCCCAAATTATAGTAGTTTTAATGTGGATCCCGCAGGATGGCAAGCAGTATGGTCCCGCAGGAGCAAACATCTGAACCTTGAGGAACATACAAAGAAATCAACAAATAGGGATTTGGTGGCTTTCTACTGGTCCAAGGTCAAACAATTAGGAGCGGGTTTAAATGGTGGTCTTACAGGACCCAACCTTAATGTGACAGCCATCAAAATGGACATTTCAAATTCAGTCCTCAAGCAGATTTTGATTGGGTAAAGATAAATTTACTTGCATGTACCCACAAATTTTTGTAATTTAAGAAATGTCCCCCCACATTTTTGGTCTTAGCTTCTAAAAACAAATAGGACCTTGAAGGTATGAAGTTGTTCGAAAAACATTGAACAAGGCTTGGACAAAAAAAAAAAAAGAAAAAAAAAGTTAATTGCAAACTCTGGATCCGGAAGGTTTGAAGTTTGGTTTTTGAAGCTCAAGGTAAGCTTCGGACTTTCACAACCAAAAATTATTTTTAGATCAACCGGGGCTGCATTTCAAGTATGGGTGCGGTTTGTATAGAACCTAGGCTCTAAACAATCAAATAAGAGCCTACCTTCAAATAGTATCGAGAAATGTGGTTTCAATACTAGAAATATTTGTGATGGCCTTAAAAGATATTTTTATATTTATTTATAGAGTAATGATCCTATGAGTCCCTCTCACACGCATATGTGTAGCACTTTAAACGATCATTATTAACTTTTATACAAATCTTTAGAAAAGTCAAGTCCCACACCCATGTGATAATTTTTCTAGAGACCTGTGCCAAATTTAATGTTCGTCCTACACACATGGGTGTGGGACGGTCTCATAGGATCATTACTCTTATTTATAAAGTTTAAAGCTTAAAAAATAATGTAGATCGACATATCTATGAAAACTTGAAAATCTTGAAAATTGACGGTAAAAAAATACGTTACAAAATACATTATTCTAAAACTTGAAATCCATTTTTTTTCTCATGTCTATGCATCTTGATGTCGAGATGATCAATTTAAAAATATTTGGGAATCAAAACAACCTCTTCTAGTGAAATTTTTGAAGTAGGCTCAAATTTGATTGTTTAGAGCCACGGCTCTATATAAACTTTTCCCTTCAAGTATATAGTCAACTTCGGACTTTCAAGGTATTAAGTGTTTTTTGCAACAAATTCAGACCTTGAAAGTGAGTTAAGTGCATGACAAACACCTGCAGAACTTTTGATCCCAAAGGTAAACTTCAAACCTTAAGGGTGAAAAAGGCAATGTTGTCAAAAATAAAAAATTGAAAAACAAATGTATGAATGTGAAAAAGTAAATTTTATAGAATATTTTTTAAAATAATAGGAATTTGAGGGATATGTATGTAAATTTCTGTTTTGTAACAAATCAGTTTTAGAGAGATAAAATATAATTTGAACCAATTAGTATCCATCAGGTCCCCTAAATGCTTGACCCGCAATCAATGAACAACTTCGTTCCATAGGGTGAGAATGCTTTTGGTTAGACTTAGACCGCCTGACGATTAATGTCCGTCCAATTTCATCTTATCAGATTCTCGCGATAACTGTATTAGGCTATATATGTTTTTTAATAGGGGTGTCTTAGTCTATAATCTGATGTGATGAAATCGGACGGACATTAATCGCCAAGCAGTTTTAAGTCTAACTAATGGTAAAAGAATATCGTTGCCCTATGGAACCAAGTTAGTTTGTTAATGGGTCTTGTCAGGTCAAATATCTTTTAACGCTATTTGAAGGTGTACTTTAATTTAGGTTGTTTAGGGTCTCAACATTATATATTTATCCAAAGATGGATATAAGTGACGGTCCCTTTAAGAAAAAGGTAAAATAAATTGCTCAAATGTTTTTTTTAAAAAATATCATTTTTATTTTATACATATTAATGATCCCTATATTAGGGATTGTATATTCCTTACCAATCATAGTCAAAATTATACAATCCCTAATATAGGATCATT